GGTGTGGCAGGTGCTGTGCTTGAGCCGAGGAAGGGAATCAGAACTGAATGGCTGGGTCCAGAAGGAATTTTTCAAGAAGGTACAAGGCCAGGAAGAGACTTCAGATATTCTTTGAAAAGTTAGCAAGTTAGAGTTCTATAAATCCAGACATCCACTAGCTCTAACATTCTATAAGTTATTGAGTGGAGGTTGTGTCATAACCTAAAGAATAACTTTACCTGGGCTGACATAGAGTGCTATGCTGGTAAACCAGCAAATAGGGTCAGAAAAAAAAATCTTCAAAGAAAATACTCTGACTTGTGTTTGCAGATTTTCATTGCCAGTTTTCATGGTTAAACACTCTCACTGTGGCAGATGTCACATTACCAACCAGACATCACTGAACTCAGAGTTTGGAAGAGATGAATACATTTGGGCCCAAATGTACTAAATATGCACTATATAACCAGCTCGTTGAGCTGGATCCAACTGCATGAAGTACTTATACTGTGTTTCATTACCTGAGGGGACCAGAGCTAGTGAGTGGGAAAGTATCCATCCTTGCAGGAGACAGGCTTAGAGCTCTCAGGACAGAGAGAACATATTTTCAGTCTCTGGAAAGCTGGAGAGCAACCAGGATAATCAAAGGTAAAGCCCCCAAACCAACCTGGGGCAAATGGGGAGATAAAATACAGAACCAAGTCAGGTAGCCAGAAGGAAAATCAACCCAGATAAAAGACCAGGGTAAACATTCAGGATCAGAACCAGGACCCAAGGAAAAGAGATGGTGGGTTAGAAGAGGAAATGCCTGATTTCAGTCTGGCGTGACCTTAGGGTGAAGTACAAGGTCCAGAGAAATTTGGTGTCAGCTCTCCCTCCAAACCCACCCAAATCCCTTTCCCTAGGATGACTCGGATCTCCTCTTGGAGGCTCTCAAAGGAGCCTGTGAAAACCTCTAACACTACATGCTACAGTTTTCCAGGGACGTGTCTCAAACTAGGCTGCAGGCTCCTTTAGATACACAGCACAGGGCAGGAGTCAGCAAACAGGCTGTGAGCCAACTCTGCCCTGCTGCCTGCTTTTGAGGTCTGTGCAAGCTAAGAATGGTTTTTACACTTGTTTTTAAAGATCATTTTGTGACACATGTAAATTATGTGAAGTTCAAATTTTATTATTTTATTTTTATAATTTTATTATTAAACAAAGTTTTACCAGAACACAATTACATGCATTTGTTCTTTATTATCCATAGATTCTTCCTTGATATCACAGCCTGCAAAACCTACAAAGTGTATTACCTGGTTCCTTACAGCCAAAGCTTGCCAGTTCTTGCACACAGCAGGCCACGGGACAGGAAACACAGGATAAATGTTTGATTATGATTATTTGACCCTACACCCAACACCAAGCCTGTTTAATGTCACTACTATCCAGCTATTTCTGGTGGAAGACTCTCCCTGTCCTAGCAACAAACTTTGTATTCCAGCTCCTTGAAGCAGTGAGAACCCAAACAGGTTGGTTCCAGTCTGCCTGCATAAGCATTTCAAAGTTGATAGTGCTATGGAATTTGACTGAATATTCTACTAAATAAAAAACAAAATAAAAGGGTTCCACTATAAAAATGATTCCAACTAAACAAGCTTAATAAATGTTAAGCTGAACAACTATGCATACTTCTTATTGCATAACTCTTCAGCGCCTTTAAGATGCTAATTGGTCTCTGCTTCCAGATGAGGAGCATTTCCTAAACTTACTCATCAAAATATGTTCTTTAAAAATACAATTAAAGTGACGTCCCCTGTGATTCCTAATCCTGCATGACTGATATAGGTGTCCTCATGGCTGAGGAAGACTTGGGCACAGACATGCACAGGGAGATGGTCCTAGGAGAACAGAAACATAGACAGAGAGATGCGGCCATCAGCCATGGACTGGGGTGGCTTCCAGGGCTGAGGCAGAAGAACCCTGCCTTACAGCCTCCAAGGACAGCATGGCCCTGCCAAAACCTCAGCATAAGACTTTGGGCAGGACCACAAAGGGTACAGATCTGCCTGAACACCCCCACTGGGGGACTTTGCTAGCAGCTGTGGGCTATGGGTGTGTCAGAGGCAAAATACCTTTCAGGATTCAAGATCAGAAAGATTTATAGCCCTAATAAACACACATTCAACATTACTCAGAGAGTTCACTGCTTGGGCCTACATTATTTCACTTAACTTTGACCACACTGCATTATCACGAGGCAGCTGCAATTCGTATCACCCTGGAGGAAGTGGCCATTGTTCAGCTCCCACCACGGCCACTGCCTGTAGATCCCACTTCCTCTCTGCTCTTTCAGGTCTTCATATAGGTGTTAACTTCTTCTCAACAAGGCCGCCCCATGTAAAATCTCAGTCCACCTACCCAGCATTCTGAATTTCCTTGCCCATTTTTCTTTTTCCTTGACCTATTTCCTACTAACAAATTCTATCATTTACTTCTTATGTAAGATCCATGAGGCAAGGACTCCTGGTCTAATATGTTACCAATGCACTCCAAGCACCTAGATAAACACTCCTAGTAGGTTCTCAGTATTTGTTGAAGGAGTGTCTGTGTGACTACCTGGCAGGAGCTACTAATCTCCCAAGAGTTTTACCCACTAGATTTGGCCAAGGTCTAAGGAATACTGTATCACAAGGGGCCAGATTGTACAATTATGAGGACTTTATCTCTCACTCTGAGTGAAATACAGAAATACTAGAGGATTTAGACCCCAAGAAGGAGAAAATCTGACTTAACAGCCTGATGGATGAAGAAGAGACCATGTAGGAAGCAAGTACAATAATTCAGACAAAAAACTATTGTGGGTTGGATCCAGATGGAGGAATGGAGGCGGTGGGCAGTAGTGAGATTCTGATGATAATTAAAGGACACTGCACCAGGATTTTCTGACAGGTCAGACACAATGATAAGAAAAAGGAGAGGAATCAAAGACGACTCCAAAATTGTTGATCTGAGAAAATTTCAGAAGGAAATGACAAATGACAAAAACCAAGAAGAAAGAAACTGTGGACTAGCTTTGGGGAGAAAAAGCAAAAATTCTGTTCAGGTCATGGTCAGTAAGAGCTGTCATTCAGACCTCCATACACTACACATTATCGATTTTAGACAGACAACTGCATACCCACGTCTTCAGTGCAAGAAATCTGGCAGTCACTGACACAGAACTACACATGGCTCTTAAAGCCAAGATACTAAATAAGATAATCAAGGCAATTATGTGACGCACACAACTGTTTTTTAAATATTTTGCAACCTTGATGGGTTTACTCTGTGGATACAAAACCCACAGTACTGCAAAAATCTTACCATTTCTGACTTGTTTCCACTACTCAAGACAAATTTTATTTTTTTTACTATTTTTCTATAAACTACAGCGATAGTTTCACACTTTTTTCTCAAGGAAATGAGGGGGAGAGAGAAAAAGATAGAAAGACCCCAGACTGAGGAATTGAGGGTACAGCTTAGGGATATATCACTTACCTAGTATGTATGAGGCCTTGAGGTTGATTCCCA